TCCACAGGTGTTCCCACGCGGCTAACTACTTGTCGGCCTCTGTGTAGAAAACATGACAGCTGTTCACCCTTGACAGCTTTTCTATCTACTTCTTGTGATGGATAGTAAACTGTTCATCAAATTCAGCTAACAGACAATGGAAAAGTAGACTGTCACAAGAACTATGCAAGGCTAAAATAACACTTCTTCAGCCCTCCCATTTTTCCCTTTCTCAACCAGTCTGTCCTTGCTCAGTTTCCTTCGCTGCAACGGATTTGTTGAGGTAGAGCAGTCTGGGCAGTTAGGGCAAGTTACATTTTTTTTTTTTTTTTTTTTTTTTTTTTTTTTTTTTTTTTTCCTATTTCAGGGTTTCTTACAGGATCAATCTTTTAAAGAAGATATCACATTTCCAGCTAAAGCATACTTTACTTGCTCGAAGCGGTGATGGGAGGGTGAGCTCTGCTCTGTCACAGCCTCTCGCTCTCTGTGCTCCCACTTCTGCTTTGTACTGGGATGCTTCAGCTCCGTAACTTATCCGGACCTACCGAGAAAAGATACTTCAAGGACCGCAGAGTCTCTGGATACCTCCGTATATTGGGTACAGGATCTCGGCCCCAGAAACGGTACATTGTGTGTCAGGTATCTCAGCACATACAAGAGCTTTACGTAGGCTGCTTAGCATCGCTGTGCTATTCACAGCTTTTGTTCCTGGAATAACCCCCACCAAGGCTGTGTAACACCCACATGTATAAACATAACTGCATTAGTCTTGAAAATAAAAGAGGCAAAGGCACATTCAATTTTAAGACATACTGTAGCCTGGACAATTTCCCTTTAATGGTGGAAAACGTTCCCTGATTCCTGCTCGGCAGCGGGGTCCTGCTGTCCTTACACCGACTTAATAATGTCAGAAGCACCTTCACCCCGGGAGGAGAGGTAGGTGTGTACTGGATGCACACGTGCTTCCTAAACAGGGAAATTCAATCTGTCAAGAAAATTCAATAACAACCTTAACATGTAATTGTACCCTAGGGCCCAATAAAAATCAACAAGGATGGTAGTTGTTGATATTTCGTTAACCTTCTCTTAAAAAGGTCTCAAAAAATAAGTTAGAGTGCCTGGCTGTACGTACATGTGCAGTACGTACAGGGATCTATAGGGAAAAACGTGTTTAAAACTTCAGATTGGATCCACACAGAAAATACTGAAGCGCTGGCACAGAGCTTGGCCATTGTTAGGTAAAAGAAAACATCCTGTTTTGATTTATGCATGCAGCACTCAATTTAACAAGTGTAGCTACAGGCAATTGGAAAACAGTCAAAATGGTGAATTTGCTGCTTACACTCATTTATACTGTTTCCTGAAGACAATTTGCTGTTGCTTTTTGGCATGTTTAGTATTTTTTTAAACCGCACAAAGGTTATGCCCAGTTCCCATAATTACACAGCGACTTTCTTGGTGTAGGTGCAGTTGGGCATTTGCCATGTGATGCAGCATCCCGAGTTTTCTTTCCTGGGGCTGCCTCTGTGACAGCAAGTGCCGTGGGGTTTTAATGCTTCGGTGGCCCCTTTCATTAGCGTGGGGCTGGGGCTTTGTGGAGCTGCACTTAGTGAACGTATTAGACGGGGCTCAGGCAGGGACGGAGTCTAATCAATAAACCAAGTGCCAGTTGGAGTTACTCTGCTCGTCAGGATGGCGCCTGCAGTGAGACAATGTCCAGGCAATTAGTGTATTTGTTTTGTTTCTCTCATTATTAATTATCTACATTACAGCCACACCTGGAAGCTTCTGGGTGCTGCACAGCCACCTAAGACAAGACGGTTTTTTGCCCTGAGAAATTTAAGTAGACTGAGAGCGTTGGGAAAGGCAGAGAACAGCGTTTTCTGATCAGCGGCTGTCAGAATCCATGTCTAGCCAGGTGAGGAAACAGAGGAACCACCCGAGCTCTCTACCTGAGCTGGTGGAGGAGCTCTGAAGCCATCAACTGCTAGGAAAATCCGCAGGCATGTCTGCAGCTCAGGAGTTTTCCCTTGCTGTCTGGCACGGACAAAAAAAAAATAAAAATCCTTTATTGGCTCAATAGGTGAGTCAAGCAAGGTCTTTCCCCTTTGGCTGTGAGGGATTCTGCTTGGGGTGGTGTTCGGGGCGGCAGGAGGGACTCCGGAGCGGGTGGGATGTGCGTGCAGTTGGCGTTACCGGCTGCGGACTGGCACGCTGAGGGTGCAGGAGCTGCAAGGAGCCCCGCACAGCGGCTCGGGGCTCGGCTCCAAACCCAGCTGGCACTGCTGGCTATTCCTGACACAGAAAGATGGGCAGCAGATAAATCACCCCATCGCTCCTGGAAGGACTTCAGTCTCTTCACAGTTCAATTCCCTTTGACTACACAGATCAGAGGCCGCAGTTGTTTATTTCCAAAAGAATTTGTGGCCAAGGAAGAGCTGCCATACAAGGAGGGCTTAAAGAGTATTTTTCCTCTTGGACCTCCACAGACCACCAGCAGGGAGCTGCCAGCCACCCGCTGTAGCTGAGACCACCATGCCAGCTCGTTTTCCTTCCGCAGAGCGCGGGGCTGAGGCGTGAGGTGCCGTTATTACCACTCCACTTTCTGCACTGAGCCTCTGCCTTGGAATTACGCTCTTCAATAGCAAACACAGTGCGTTTTGGCCCGGAACGGCACCGAAGACCCAAACTCACAGCATTTGCGTCCCAAACCAAAAACCCAGGACATCTGCCTGGCACAAAGCGCAGGTTGGCCTGAAAACCCCAACGCCCCCAGGGGGTACGCGCAGCCCGGCCGCTCCGCCCCGAGGGGCCGATCCCCCGCGGCCGAGGGCTCTGGGAGGAGCCGGCGGGGCCTCACGCCACCCCCGAGGCCGGTCAGAGCCCGCGCCACGCCGGGCCGAGGCGGCGATGAAACGAGGAGAAGGAAAATGGCCGCGGCCCGGCCGCCCCCCCCCT